GAAATATACCAAATTGTTACAACTGATCATCTTAGGAATGGAATTTTTAGTCATTTTTATTTTCTTCTTTATAATCTTTCTATAACTGCCAAATTTCTTACACTTAACGTGTATTATTTTATTTTATTCCAAAATTTTAAAAAGCAACATTTTTTTCTGATTATATCAGTGATACATTTACATTTAAAACTGAAAATCTATTGAAATTCTGTTTATTCACTGCCTCACCAAGTCTGGGTTCAGCTCCCTTTATAGGCATTTCAACCACATTCTACACCATTAGCACTGCAGTGCTAATGGTAATGAATGTTTAATTGGCTGTCTTCTTTCCTTTACCATAAGCTACACGAAGGCAGGGAACAACTATAGCTGATTGTTAAAGCCCTGTACTTACTACAATGCCCAGCAGACACAGGCACCCAATAAATAGTTGTTGAAATAGAAGTCCTTTCCTTTAAAAATTATAAACTGCAATAGGATCAACATTCCTGCACATACAAATGTTTGCACTTATCCAATTACTCTTAAAGGGTAAATTTCTAAAAGTAGAGTTGCAAAAACAAAGCTCTGCACATTCTGAATTTGAATATACATTGTCAAATTGCCCTCCATAATCCCTGGAGAAATTTACATTCCCACCAACAATGGGAAAGTGTCCATTTCCCCATATCCTTGAAACACTGAGTGTTACCACCTTAAAAACAAAAGACAAAAAACACACACATTTCCAAAGGAGAGATTACTATCCATTACTATTATATTAGAAAAAAAAAATTAATATATTACAGATTTTGCTATTCTTAAAACTACAAAGCTATTAAGGTGCAGATAAAAAACACTAACCAAACTATATTTTAGAATGAATGATTGCTCGTGCCGAAAAGTAGTTCATTAGCTGATTGATTCTCTGTTTAAGTAAAATAGTGCCCATTCTTCTGTTCAACTTTCTTCAAAGTACTGATAGAGGAGACAATACAAGTATGTAGAAAAATATGTGTAAGTACTTACCTGATAGAGTAAATGTGTAAGAAAACAATCTAATAGGGAAATAAATTGACTGGAGTAGAACAAATAAAGGCTCATGTGCAAGTTAGGATCTGGGGAAGAACTCTAAGGTATGGACTCAAAAAACCAGGTGAAATGCGTAACTTACTGTGAAGACAATTATATGTTGCTGTGACAAATGAAGTTGGAAAATGCTCTGTCTTGCTACCCTAGAGCTGCACTTCCAAAAGCCCACTGTTATCGTCCACAGGAATGCTTACTAGTACCCCCAACTCAGTGTGCCCAAAATAAAACTATGATTGGGATAAGCAGCAAAGGGAAAGGGAAAAAGCAAGGCAAAGATGTGGGTCTCACTGCAGTCCACCCCAGCCTGATCCACAGGGAGCTGCAAACCAGGAATACATGGCAGGGGGGGATTCCTCCTTAAGGCAGGAGGTACCCCAGTACCAGTCATCCCTTAGCTACAGACCACATTTGAGAGTCTTGGGATGTAACCTCCTGGGCATTCTTGGCAGAGCAACTTTCCTTAACAGGCAATTCTTTTTTTTTTTTTTTTTTTTACATTTATTTATTTCTGAGAGACAGAGAGACAGAGAGAGAGCATGCGCGCACAGTGTGGGGAGGGGCAGAGAAAGAAGGAGACACAGAATCTGAAGCAGGCTCCAGGCCTTGAGCTGTCAGCACAGAGCCTGACGTGGGGCTAGAAGCCACAAACTGTGAGATCATGACCTGAGCTGAAGTGGGACGCCCAACTGACTGAGCCACCCAGGCATCCCATCAGGCAATTCTTGAAAGAAGGTGCAGCTGTGAGCTGTTGGCAGCCTATATTCATAGCAGCTGAAGAATGGGGGCACCTACTCACCTGAAATATTCTGCTTCAGTTTCCTCTTCCATGAAGTGGAACTAATGATAGCAGCTATTTCACATGCTTTTCAAAACTAAGTAATAATGGGTGAAAGTACTCAGAATAACGTTTTACGTTACACAGTATATGTAATTCACTTAGAATCACACATAGCAAATAGTAAATGCTCAATAAATGTTATGTTACTGTTGTTGCTGTTGTTGTGTCCTCAGAATTACCCACACCAAGTGCCTCATTGCCCAAGTGCCATCCATGTGCCCAGGAGTAAGATTTTTCCTCAAACATTAGTTAAGAGCAATCTAAAGATTTCACCTCTAGATGGATACACATATCAATTTTATCTGACATTTTCTCTGAGTTCATAATCAAGTAAGGGTAACTTTTCTGTGTTTCTCTTTAAAGAGTAGGGATGGGTATGAAAACGGCTTTTCTTCTAAAATCAAGAAAAAGACTAGGGTGTCTACTTTAACCACTTTTATTCAACACAATACTGGAAATCCTAGCTGTAGCAATCAGACAAGAAGAAATAAATGGTATCCAAGTTGATAAGAAGTAGGTAAAAGTGTCACTATTTGCAGACAATATGATGCTATATATATAGAAAATCCTAAAGACTCCACCAAAAAACGACTAGAACTAATAAATTCAGTAAAGTTACAGGACACAAAACAAATAAGCCAAAATCTGTTGCATTTCTATACAGTAATATAGCAGAAAGTGGGAGAAAAAGAAACTAAGAAAATAATCCCCTTAACAATTTCCCCAAAAAGAACCAAATATCTAGGAATAAACTTAGCTAATGAGGTAAAAGACCTATATTCCAAAAATTATAAAATATTGATGAAAGAAATTGAAGAGGATAGAAACAAATGGAAAAATATTCCATGCTCATGGATTGAGAGAACAAATACTGTTAAAACATCGCTACTACTCAAAGCAATCTACAGATTTAATGAAGCCCCTATCAAAACATCAACAGCATTTTTCACAGAGCTAGAACAAACAATACTAAAATTTGTATGAAATCCCAAAAGACCTAAATAGCCAAAGCAATTTTGAGAAAGAACAAAGCTGAAGGTATCACAATCCTAGATTTCAAAATACACTACAAAGCTATAGTAATCAAAACAGTATGGTATTGGCACAAAAATAAACAGAGAACAATGGAGCACAATAGACAGCCCAGAAATAAACCCACACATATATGATCTATTAATCCATGACAAAGGAGGCAGGAATATACAATAGGAAAAAACAGTCTGTTCAACAAATGGTGATGGGATAAGTGGACAGCTATACGCAAAGGAATGAAACTGAACCACTTTCTTACATATACACAAAGATGAACTCAAAATGGGTTAAAGACCTAAATGTGAGACCTGAATCCATAAAACTCCTAGAAAAAGATATAGGCAGACATTTCTTTGATGTAGGCCGTAGAAATATTTTTCTAGACCTATCTCCTCAGGCAAGGGAAACAGCAAAAATGAACTATTGGAAATACAACAAAATAAAAAGCCTTCACATAGCAAAGGAAACCATCAACAAAACAAAAAGGCAACCTACTGAATGGTTATTTGCAAAAATATATAAAGAACTTATACAACTCAACATCCCCCCAAATCTGATTTTAAAAATGAGCAAAGGACCTGAACAGACATTTTTCTAAATAAGATGTACAGATGACCGATAGACACATAAAAAGACGCTCAACATCATCAGGGAAATGAAAATCAAAACCACACTGCATTATCACCTTACACCTGTCAAATGGGTAGAATCAAAAACACAAGAAATAATAAATGTCAGCAAGGATGTGGAGGAAAAGCAACCCTTGTGCACTGTTGGTAGGAATGCAAATGGGTGCAGCCATTGCAGAAAAATAGTATGGAAGTTCCTCAAACCCTTAAAAATAGAATTACCATATGATCCAGTAACCTTATTACTGGATATTTACCCAAATGGGAAAAACCACTAATTTCAAAAGTTATATGCACCCCTAAGTTTATTGCAGCATTATTCACAATAGCCAAGATATGGAAGCAACCCAAGTGTTCATCCACTGATGAATGGATAAAGATGTGGTGTGTGTGTGTGTGTGTGTGTGTGTGTGTGTGTGTATATATATATATATATTAGAGTATTACTCAGCCATAAAAAATTAGATCTTGCCTTTTGCAACAACATGCATGGACCGAGAGGGTATAATGCTAAGTGAAATGAGTCAGACAAAGATAACGCCAGATGATTTCACTCATATGTGTAATTTGAGAAATAAAATGAACAGTTAAAGAAGACAAAACAAACAAACAAACAAACAAAAAATTAGGCTCTTAATTACAGAGAACAAACTAGTGGTTTCCAGAGGGGAGGCAGGAGGGGGTATGAGTGAAATAGGTGAAAGGGATTAAGAATACACTTATCTTGAAGAGCACTGAGTAATGTACAGAATTGTTGAATCATTATATTGTGAATCTGAAACTAATATAACACTAAGTTAATTACATTTCAATTTAAAAAGGGGGGGGTAGCTGGAAAAACATAAGAGTGGGGATGGGAACTATCTCAACGTTGGCTGAGATTTGGTTCTGTGGCAGATCCTCACTACATGGATTCTTCGTCTAGTTCTTGATAGGAAAACCAAAACTAAAAATAAACCCCTCTCTCATCTAAGATGTGTGACCCCAATCAGGAGAGACCAGAGTTTTCCTCAAGAGTTCCCACAAAGATACACCCCATACTTGGAGCGACACTGTTAAAATCAGCCCCAGGAGCCAAATCTCTGACCCTTGCATTCTCCAGAGGCAAATACAGAAAATTTAGACTCCTCCTCCTCTTCTATCTCCTGCTGGAAACTAAATTGACCTCTTAGTCACAGCTGACTAAAGAGAGTGGGATGATCAGTGGCCAGTGGATAGGGTTCCCAGCTGAGAGATGGCAGCGATTTTGCCCGTCTAGGAATGCCAGCAAATTCGAGGAGGGGGCGGGCTTCGCTGCGAAGGCTTCTTCACCCCAGGTCCTCGCGAAGGAGCCCCGCGGTGCAGCTACCTTTCGGAACCGGCACACCAAAGGGAGCCGCGCGGGAGACACAGCCCTGGCAGCTGCGAGCAGGCGCCTGGGCGGCTGTTACCTTTTCGTGCTCGGGGTCAGTCCACAAGGGAGCGCCAGGATCCCCGACGCCCGCCCGCGGGAGCCTTCCCCTCTCCCGCTGGCTGGGGACTGGGCCAGGGCCACCCAGGAGCCTGGGGCTCGTCCTCCCCGGGGACGCAAGGCGCTCCACTCCAGCTAGGTGGCGAAACGCGGGGTCGGTGCCGAAGATGGGGGCGGGGAGGGTGCCGGAGGGCCCGCCTCTGGACCCGCCCCCCGGGCTGAACCACGCTCTGGGTTCCTCCTTTTTGGGCGTCTCAAAATAGGAGGCCCACGGGTTAGCCGGGGATAGCGAGGGAGGCGCTAGCGTGGCGCTATAGCTGGGAAAGGAGCCGCAGGCATGGAGGTGGGGAAATTTGAACTTTTATTTTTATTAGGAAATTACTAAGGATAGGCTCTACAGGTAGATGTAACATTTACAGTCGTTCTTAAAATAATATGTGACTGTGGATAAATTTAGCGGGAGTAAGGGAGACCCCCACTCCCACCCCAGTCCGGGGTGGTGACTGGCAGGGAGATGCCCTGAGGTGCAAGTTTGAGAAGCGCTCTGTGTACGTGGGTGCTTCTTTCTGGAAACGGGAGCTCCCGCCTGGCTGGCTGGGCTCAGGGTCCGGCTCTAGGACACGCCCTCGGCCTGTCCTCCGCTTGGAGCCAACCCTACCCCACCTCCCCAGTGCAGGTGGGCAGAGGACCGGGGACAGCCCCTAGTCAACCTCCTGGATCAGGAAAGTCTGAATCTCGTATCTGGGCCCCCATGGAAAACACTGAAATCTTGGGGGATAAAAAGCCACAAGCAGAACTTGAGGGAAGTTGTCGTGAAAGCCATGGTCTGTACTTTGGCTCCAGGATAAACGGTACTGATGGCTCAAAGGGCCCTAGAAATTCTTTTCCTGGGCCGATTTAGAGGTTATTGCTTATAATTTTGGTGGGACAACTTAAACAAACAAACAAACGAACAACAACAACAAAAAAAACAAACCATTTGCTTTCAGTTTCATAGGAAACGAAGTTAAATACACTTTAGTTATGAAGGTTTTTCTCTACATCAAGCAATTCTTTGTGACACTAGCTGGGAGACCTACAATTTCACTTGATTTGAACACTGTCAGTGTGGACAGAGTGTCAGATAAGGGCTCAGACCCTCAAGACTGCTCCCACCCTACTTCAGGTGTCAATTGCAAGTAGTAGGTGACCAACAACTTCTGTCCAATTTGGCTACAGATTGGAGATTCCCACCATCTTCCTTGGGTTTGATTATTTGCTAGAACAGTTCACAGAACTCAAGGGAAAACTTACTTATGTTTACCAACTTACTAAAGGATATGATAAAGGATACAGATAAACAACCAGATGAAGAAGTACATAGAGGGAGGACTGGGAGGGTGCTGACCTCAGGAGAGTCTGTTCCCAGGGAGTCGGGGTGCATCATCTTCTCTGGAAGCTCTCCAAACCCCATGCTATTGGCATTTTTATGGAGGCTTCTTCATGTAGGCACAATCAATTATCATCAATTCCTTCTCTGGAGAAGGTGGGGGGGTGGGCAGACCCAAAATTTCCAAGCTTCTAATTATGGCTTCATCTTTCTGGGGACCCCCCCCCTCATCCAGGAGCCATGTAGGAGCCTATTAAGCATCGCCTCCATAGAAAAAAAATGCTTCGGGGCGCCTGGGTGGCACAGTCGGTTAAGTGTCCGACTTCAGCCAGGTCACGATCTCACGGTCCGTGAGTTCGAGCCCCGCGTCAGGCTCTGGGCTGATGGCTCAGAGCCTGGAGCCTGTTTCCAATTCTGTGTCTCCCTCTCTCTCTGCCCCTCCCCCGTTCACGCTCTGTCTCTCTGTGTCCCAAAAATAAATAAACGTTGAAAAAAAAAATTAAAAAAAAAGAAAAAAAAAAGAAAAAAAATGCTTCTAACGCTCTTAACATTAAGAATTGAAAGGGGTTTTATGAGCCCTGTATCAGGAATGGTTCCTCATTGTCGTGAGGATAAACTCCTAACTCTCATTAGATTTTAAAGACTCTTTTTAGTTAGCCTCACTCCTTCCACTTTCTTCTTTAGCCTCACATCTTTTTACCCTCCCTGCCTCTCCATCTCCTGCCACACCGCCTTCCCAATGGCTCTTGTTAAAATACTCTGATTTCTTCTAGGTACACAAATGCATCTGTAATCACTCAGGCTGAAATGTCTTTGGCCTTCTTTTCCCTGGCTGGCTTCTACTGTTCCATCAGGTCTCTGACTAGATGATTTTGTCCAGGGTAGTTTCCCCTCCACAGGTTCTTATAACCACACTGTAACCTCACCACAGCACCTATCATACAGTATTGTAATTGCCCATTTCCCCCTATTTCACCACCAGACTAAGCTATTAACCTGTGCCCAAAAGGAAGCTGCAAATGTAAAGAACCTGGCCCTAGGGGCACCTGGGCGGCTCAGTCAGTTGAGCATCCTACTTTGGCTCAGGCCATGCTCTCATAGATGGTGAGTTGGAGCTCCCTCTCTCTCTCTCTGCCCCTCCCCTATGCATGCTCTGTCTGTCTGTCTGTCTGTCTCTCTCAAAAACAAATAAACATTAAAAAATAAATTAAGAAGTAAAAAATAAATAAATAAATAAATAAATAACCCGAGCCTGGTTCCAATCCCAGTTCCTGACTTTATGAGTTGTGTGTACTTCAGCAAGTTTCTTAACCTGTCTGGGTCTTAGTTTCCTATCTGTAAAGAAAGAGGATCACTATAAAGATTACTAAGACAAGGCATGTAAAGCATTTGTATGTAGCTAAGCGATTTGTAGATGCTCACTAAATAGTAGTTATAAACGGTAACAATTCTGCCCCAAAGTGTCTTCCCTAGACTGAACTCCTCTCAAAAGAGTTCTTATCACCATCAAGTGGAGAGAGGAAGAAAAAACTATAATTTCCCTGACCTCCAAAATACTCGTTAGCTGTATATACTTGAGGAGGTTATTTGGTCTTTCAGTCCTCAGTTTCTCGATCTGAACTTGCATAAGTAGTATCATCATAGGATAGACATGAAAGTATTTTGAACAGATATAGCATTAAAAAAAATTTTTTTTAATGTTTATTTTTGAGAGACAGACAGAGTGCAAATGGGGGAGGGGCAGAGAGAGACAGAGACATACAATCTGAAGCAGGCTTCAGGCTCTGAGCTGTCAGCACAGAGCACAACATGGGACCTGAACTCACAGACTGTGAGATCATGACCTGAGCCGAAGCCAGAAGCTGTAAAACAGCAAACTCTCACTTTTAGCTATGACTCTTATCATTTTCCTTCCTGCATTCTTTTTACTAGATAAGACAATGAAAACTACTCGGCAATGAAAAAGAATGAAATCTCACCATATGCAACAACATGGATAGAATTAGAGTGTCTTACTAAACAAAATAAGTCAGAGAAAGACAAATATCATATGATTTGGCTTATATGTGGAATTTAAGAAACACAACAGATGAACATAGGGGAAGGGAAACAAAAATAAGATAAAAACAGAGAGGGCAGCAAACCATAAAAGAATAATACAGAAAATAAACTGAGGGTTGCTGGAGGGGAGATGGATAGGGGATGGGCTAAATGGGTGATGGGCATTAAGGGGGGCACTTGTTGGGATGAGCACTGTGTGTTGCATGCAAGTGATGAATCACTGTGTTCTGCTGAAACCAATATTACACCATATGTGAACTAACTTGGATTTAAATAAATAAATTTTTAAAAATGAAAATGTATATACCACAACTGTTTGTGAAGTGGTAGATGTTCGACTGATGAATGGGTAAAGAAGATGGGGTATATATAATGGAATATTACTCAGCGATCAAAAAGATTGAACTCATGCCATTTGCAACAATATGGATGAAACTAGAGTGTATTATGCTAAGCAAAATGATTTCACTCATATGTAGAATTTAAGATACAAAACAGATGGGGTGCCTGGGTGGCTCAGTTGGTTAAGCAGCCGACTTTGGCTCAGGTCATGATATTGTGGTTCATGGGCTTGAGCCCCATGCCGGGCTCTGTGCTGACAGCTCAGAACCTAGAGCCTGCTTCGAATTCTGTGTCTCCCTCTCTCTCTGCCCCTCCCCCACTTGCACTCTATCTCTCTCTGTCTCTCAAAAATGAATAAAAAATTTAACAACAACAAAAAAGATACAAAACAGATGAACATAAGGGAAGGAAAGCAAAAATAAGATAAAGACAGAGAGGGAGACTAACCGTAAGAGACTCTTAAATACAGAGAACAAACTGAAGGTTGTTGGTGGGGTGTTGGGTTGGGGAAGTGCTAAAGGGGTGAGGGACATTAAGGAGGACACTGGTTGGGATGAACACTGGGTGTTATATGTAAGTGATGAATCACTAAATTCTATTCCTGAAATTATTAATACACTATATGTTAACTAACTTCGATTTAAATTTAAAAAAAGAAGTTATAGTAATTCCAACCGAGTTTTAATCCATCTAAAGCCCTATATTGCCTGCTACAGATAAGTTCATGAATATGAAATATTCATATTTTAAACACATTATCGAATATTGCTATTTAAATAATATTGAGAATTTTTTATTAATTTTTAAATGTTTACTTATTTTTAAAATACAATTTATTGTCAACTTGGCTTACATACAACACCCAGTGCTCATCCCAACAAGTGCCCTCCTCAATGCCCATCACCCATTTTCCCTTTCCCCCACCTCCCCATCCACCCTCAGTTTGTCCTCTGTATTTAAGAGTCTCTTCTGGTTTGCCTCCCTCCCTCTCTATTTGTAACTATTTTTTTTCCCCTTCCCTTTCCCCATGGACTTCTGTTAAGTTTCTCAAGATCCACATATAAGTGAAAACATATGCTATCTATCCTCTGAGAACTTTTTCTAAATTAATGAATATTTATTTTGGAAAATTTCAATCTTTATATACTGAGTTTTCCATAACAAACTTTTGTCCAAACAATAAATGGCCTAAGCAGTACAATTAAATTGTTTCTTTAAAAATAACCACTCATTTCACCACATTTTTTGGTTTCAGATATTAGTAATTTTGAAAGAACCAAAATTATTTTTCAAGTATTGACTATTGTCAA